ACCTATAAAATTGAGAAAATCTACAATTGAATAATACTACGAGAACTACTGGAAGACCACATAGGCTATTAATTCAGTTTTATAATACCTCCTGAACAGGGTCGCGAGCAGCCGCTAGTATATATATAAAGAAAGGCGTCAAATGGAAATAATTCTGCGTTTAATTTGATGTGTAGTGTTCCTCTTCCATTTTGTAACAAGGTATGGATGTGGTACAGGACCCGGAGGCGCTGAAGATCCGCGTGAACCAGGACACGCGTCTGGACAACCGCATCCTGGATCTGCGCACTCCGGCCAACCAGGCCATCTTCCGCGTTGAAGCCGGAGTCTGCAGACTCTTCCGTGACATCCTCACGAGGAAAGGTAACCATGTAATTTTTTTTTATTTCATTTTCCTACTATTATAATAAATTTTTTGTGTAACCCCAAAAAATATAGATAAGGCACTGTTTAAATGAACACGTGTTTTACCCTTTTGAAAGCTGATGGAAAGATATTATGGTCAGTCAATGTGGTTACTTACCTTACTAATATTATAAATGCGAATGTTTACATGGATCGATGTCTGTTGGTGGTTTAAGATCTTTATTTCTCCAAGAATTTACAAAATTCACTTACGAGAAACAATTTTACAAAAACATGAAAATTTTACCAGTAGTCAGACATTACATTTTACTAACAAATTTCTTTAATTTATTTTTTATTTATTTTTTTGTTTGAATATATTTCCGTAACGGCTGAACGGATCTCGCTTAAATTAGGCATAGATGTAGAACATAGTCTAGAAGAACATATTGACTACTTATTAAGCTCGTTTGTAAGTCGCTTGCGACAGGTTTCACCAAACTACTTAACAGGGTGTGAAACTTTTCTTAGACCTTAGATGTCCCCTTCAGTGCACCGCCCTGGGCGGTCGCCTTACTACGTTCTGCCCTAAAGCTGGTACTATTTGCAGGTTTCGTGGAGATCCACACGCCGAAGATAATATCAGCAGCGTCAGAGGGCGGCGCCAACGTGTTCACAGTGTCGTACTTCAAATCGTCAGCATACCTCGCGCAGAGTCCGCAGCTTTACAAGCAGATGGCTATCGCCGCTGACTTTGATAAGGTCGGATAATAAGACATTTGCCTGAAAAAGACATAAATGTATAAAAAATAATTAATACTGATATATAAAAAATACTAAACTTGATCAATTAATAGAGGTTCATAGTCTCTGCCTACACCTTTGGCGTTACAGGCTTGAGTAGTGTTGTATCTGCATATTTCAACTATATAAAATGTTTTTTTGTGCAGTAATAAGTGGTAATTGAGCAAACGGTAAATTCGCTAAAATAGCGAAATGAACTTTTGACCAGATGTGACCTTTTATCAACACAAGAAGAGATGCCCAGAAATAGGATGTTTCGTCCTCCTCGGCTAAATCCATCTCTTCAATCCATTCCTTCTTTATATGACGTGGAATTAACAGACAAGTCTTAAAGGTCCTTCGGAGTCGGATTATTCACAAATTAAGTTTTTTTTATTAGTTTTTAGTATTAAAATAGTTTGATATTTGCAGGTGTTCACTGTGGGTGCAGTATTCCGTGCAGAAGACTCGAACACGCACCGACATCTCACCGAGTTCGTGGGTTTGGATCTGGAGATGGCGTTCAAGAATCACTACCATGAGGTGGTTGACACAATCGCTGATACATTCACTGAAATATTCAGAGGATTACAGGAACAGTATGTTTTAGGATAGAAACTTTTTTTTTAGATTTAGAAAGGCAGATTTAGGTTTGGAATTTTTGTACTCCGTTCCATCATCATCGTCTCACTATACGTCCCCACCGAGGGGCTCAGAGTCTAACCTAAGTTAGGGGTGATTAGGCCATAGTCAACCATGCTGGCCAAGTGCGGGTTGACTTCACACATATTTTTGAATTACTTCTCAGATATGTGCAGAATCGCGATGTTTTCTTCACCGTAAGAACGTCGGATAAATGTACATATGTAAATCGGAAACAGAAAAACACATTAGTACATGGCGGGATTCAAACTTAGGACCTACAGATTGCAAGTCAAGTGCTTAACCACTGAGCCACCGACGCTCTAACTTCGTTCCATACTAAGTCAATAATTTTGATTAGATGGCAGATGGTAATTCTTTTTGTTTAATATGAATTTAATGAAAAACCATACTTTTAAAAGTATATATCTAACTTCTTACTATCTTACTAATATTATAAATGCGAATTTTTGGATGGATGGATGTTTGTTTCAATGTGTCTTTAGAACTGTTGAACGGATCTCGCTGAAATTTGGTAGAAAATAATATGGAAAGTCACATAGGCTACTAAGTTTTTTTTTTAATCAGCGTAAACAGAGTCATGGGCGACAGCAAGTCAATGTATAAACGCAATATTTTTTAAATTTTCTAAGTTCCCTCCTATCACATTTGACTTGGCACGTCGTAAACAAGAGTATTCTTGTAGCTAATGTGCCAACTTATGTAGATACGCTCGTGAGATCGCAGTGGTGGGTCAGCAGTTCCGTGTGGAGCCCTTCAAGTTCCTGGAGCCGCCGCTACGTCTGGAGTTCCCGCAAGCGATACAGATGTTGAAGGAAGCTGGTGAGAGACAACAGATGCTTAAATATATTTTTTTATACAATACTTGAATGGAGATATTAGAACCCCCGACTTCGTGACCGGAAATCCGTACACTTAACCATTAGGCTATTGGGTCTATAATTAACTGCTTATTTATATTATCATCACGTATACGACCACAGAAGATAGGCCTCAAGTACTAAGTAATTCCGTGTACAATCTTATGAGTGTGCTTACCCGACACCTAATTTGACTCCTCTTTTCCCTTCCCATGTATTAGTAAAGGATGGGAAGGGGAAAGTGAAGTTGGCAGGAAAAAAGACGCATAGAAATTGGAAATATTATCTTTCTGTATGTCCCCTGTTGTTAATTTAGACTTTTGTTTCATTAGCCACATGGAAAAAAAACATTGCATCATATTTGAACTCTGTTCCCAGGTGTGACAGTGGGTGAGGAAGATGACCTGTCCACTCCTGATGAGAAGCTGCTGGGTCGTCTGGTGAAGGCCAAGTATGACACTGACTTCTACATTCTGGATAAATATCCTCTCGCTGTCAGACCTTTCTACACGATGCCTGATCCTAACAACCCGGTTTGTAATTTTTTATATATTAATACGATATATAATGTTTTAAATAATTAATCTGGTAATAAGATGGTATGATATTATTGCTTTTATTAAAAAAGCAGCTATCTCCCGTGACTGAATGCGCGGAATTACCTTTATAAGTAGTCTATGTGTTCTTCCAGACTATGTTCCATATGTATAACAAATTTCATCGAGATTCATGCAGCTGTTCTGAAGATAATAAGTAACAAACATCCATCCACCTAATATTCGCATTTATAATATTAGTAAGTGTAAATTAGGATGGATGGATGTCTGTTTGAAGATATCTCTAGAACAGCTGAAAGGATCTTGATGAAATTTGGTATATATAACATAGTCTGGAAGAACACATAGGCTATTTTTTTTAAATTCCTCGCAGACGAAGTAACGAGCTACTGCTAGTTTAATTTATAAAAGTGTACTATTATTCATTAATATTTGTTTGTTTCCAGAGAGTGTCAAACTCGTACGACATGTTCATGCGCGGGGAGGAGATACTGAGCGGCGCCCAGCGGATACACGACCCCGACTTCCTGGCGCAGAGAGCGCTGCATCATGGCATTGGTTCATCATTTTCTTATTATTAGTTATAAGTCAAACAGTTGATTTATCGTGGGTTTCTGACACCAAAATCCATGGTTAAAACATATTATCTCAGTGTTATATAGAGATTTTGGGTTCAGAAACCAACGGTTAATATGAGATATTGTGGCGACTTATTCTCGTGTCACATGTCGCAGACAAATTTTGAAAATACGAGGAATAATTTTCATGAAAATGTAATAAATATGCATGTAGAAGTTACAAAATATATTTAATGAGGGCGCCACTTGTACTAATTATTGTAATTCAACAGATATCAGTAAGATAGCGGCCTACATCGAATCATTCAGACTGGGCTGTCCTCCGCATGCTGGTAAATTTTCTTTTGTTCTAAAATTAGAATTATTTTTCTTAAAATTATATTATTTGGATCATCAGCCTATAAAAGACGATTTTCAGTCAATATTAAAAAAAATTGTAGCGTATTCAAAAACCAAAAAATCATACTAATATTATAAATGAAAATGTTTGAATTAATGGACGTTTGTTAGAACGGCTGCATGGATCTCATAGAACTTAGCCTGGAAAACACCAAGGCTACTAATTATGTTTTTTTTTAACCGCGAGGACGGAGTCGCGGACGCCTGCTAGTTTCATATTATAATAATCAATTTGTATTATTTCTCAGGCGGTGGTATAGGTCTGGAGCGCGTAGTAATGCTGTACTTAGGTCTAGACAACATCCGCAAGACGTCCTTGTTCCCGCGCGACCCCAAGCGAGTTACACCATGAATTAATTTTTAACTATTCTTTGTATTTACACTTGTTTCTAAGATTGTCAATAAAATGTTTTATACATTTTATTTTTTTTATTTTAACCTTAAAATGTTCTATTTGAAAGATTTGATTGATTGAATAAGCACCGAAACTACTATGTTTGTTTCTATCCTAAGTTAGGGGTGACTAGGCTATAGTCAACCACGCTGGCCAAGTGCGGGTTGCTTGACTTCACACATATCTTTGAATTTCTTCTCAGATATGTGCATGTTGCATCACGATGTTTTCCTTCACCGTAAGAACGTCGGATAAATGTACATATGTAAATCGGAAATGGAAAAACACATTGGTACATGGCGGGATCCGAACCTGCAGATTGCAAGTCAGGTGCTTGCCACTGAGCCAACAGATGAAAAGTATTAGGAAAAGGTGTATAAAGGGTTTTAAAGCAGTAAATTATGCACAAATTCATATATTTTTATTATAAATCCTATTAATTAAGTAACTGTTACATGATTAAGTAAACTAAGTTAATGCTTAAACTTTACAAGGAAGTTGAGCACAGACTAAGTACATCACAATTTATTTAAAAAAAAAATTAAATTGGAACACAATCCTTGAGGAGTATGTCTAAGAAATAATACATATTCTTAGGAACTGTTTACCAAAAGAAATTAAAACTAAGGGAGTTTTAAGCACCCATTTTAGTATTTTATAGAAAAAAAAACCAGCAAAGGAAATGTCAGACGGCTGATAAACATGAATAGCATTTGCTAATTGTTTACATAGTTTGATTTGCATAAAATATATAAATATGATTTAAATACATATATAAAAAAACATACATCTTTCTACTATATTAATAAACAAATATAAGAATTCATATTTTAGTAAAAGATAATTTTTAAAGATTTATCTTGATTTTCCAAAGACTAATCTCCATTTTCAAACTGAGAGTGAGTCTTCATGACGTCTTCGTGAGATGTCAAAGAATAAGCATCTTCAAAGTAATTTAAAACTCAATGATTCTGGACATAATATTAATATATATATTCCATTAACATAGTATTTGACGTATATATGTATTTAAATCTTGCCTGTCAATGATTAAAAAAACACTAATTTCTATAAATGGATAGGTAATTTGCTTGGAAATTATATCTTTTGCTTTGTTCCTACATAAAATTGCCTTTTGAAGTTCCTGTCAGTTCAAATCCTCACCACCGCTTGCAAACGCTACCATCATCAAAATGGTGATAATCAAATAGGAACAAAATACAGCCTATCCATATATAGAGGTGTGTTCAAAAATATTAAAAATAGATGTCGACACTCAATTTCTTGTACTTAACACGATTCGATTATTTTATTCGATTACTGTTAACTTATATGGTCAATATGACCAGTCCGAGGTTTGATACCTCAATATTGAAGTTAGGAAAGAAAATCACTTACATTTTAAATAATTCGTCGTATTACACATTTCACTTTGAGTGCGTTCAAGTTCACAGTTGGTTATATAATTTGACACTGGGTTAGGGGAACATTTACACTTAAAACACATATCACTGTTATTCAAGGCTTCACCGGAAAGGTTCAACCTTCACCAATAAAGTCCATCTTTCACCATGTAGGTTCAGATTGCACCAATCAATCTGACTGCTCGTGTTCTTGCTGCTTAGAGGTTCAGGATTCACCAAAGAGGTTCTTGAGGTCATGCTCATAGAGAGCAATGACCAGCATGACACCGATGCCAGTAGCCAGCCCCATCAGCTGCAGCAAGCACTGGCACAGCGTACCCTCCTTGCTGTGAGATGTACTCAGCTCCGGCATCTGACAATTTAAAATATTGTAAAGAAGACCAGATATTTTTATAGTGAAAATTTTAGATTTTTGGAACTTTCCATTCATTATTTAGTCCTATCTAATTTTCTTACATAAAACAACAAAAGTGTCATCAAGTTTTATCAAATGTTAACAGTACAAGAATACAAAGTACTACACTAAAGCACTTATTTATCGTTTCTGAGTGCAGTATTTAGATTTTCACAATTATATTTCTGTCTCTCTCTATTGAAAATTCTCCATAAGCTAAGGGTTTTTTTTTTAAATAACTACGTATATATTATGGTTACCATATCAACGAGTGCGATGTACAAGAACATGCCGGCGGCGGCTGCGAAGAGCCATCTTGTAGCGGAGGGCGCGTGTCCCGCCAGCACTCCGCACACCATGCCCAGCAGGCACAGTGCTGACGACAGCACGTTGTACCACACCGCGCGCCGCGCCGACATACCCGCCTTCAGCAGCACCGCGAAGTCACCTGTAATACCCCAACTTTGTTACACCCCTCGACGTACATATGCACTAGCACTTTTGTTCCTGACGTGCCAAATCGAAAGCCGGGTACTAAACTTCGAAACAATAAATGCTTGACCACATTAATAGATTTTTTTTCTGTAAATTTACTATAATTCTTTGTACCATTCCAACTAAGCTCTTTTGCTAAGATATCGTTTACGACAATAGTCGAATGGCGGAATTTGTACCTCCGAACTTATGATCGGAAATCCGTACCCTTAACCATTAGGCTATTGATGCTTCATTTAGAATAAATGAGAATAAATGTCATAAACTCCAAATACATCAAACATAAGCAGTTTTTTTAAGATTACACGTATTCGTAGTCAATATGAACAAACATAAGGCGCTTGTTCAATTGATTCTAGACAATACTTACCTAGTTCATGAGGCAGCTCATGGCAGAGCACAGCAATCGCTGTGGAGAAACCACCGGCGATATTTGACGAGAATGCAGCACCTACAATACGAAACAATTACTCTCATAAAACTTGAAATCCGGCTCGAAGGACCAATATCGACATCAAAGTCGAAAAATAAGCTGCAATTTAGAAGTTATATGACTCACCGATAGCCATGCCGTCAGTGAAGTTGTGTAAACCGTCACCCATGATGACCATCCAAGCTACTGAGGACATGGAGGAAGGCGGCGCGTGCACGTGCCCGTGCGCGTGGGAATGCCCGTGGTGGGCACGCGAATGCTCCCTACGAATAACACATAAATATTACTCTTCTTTCATTTTCTTATTTATTATATTCTAAATCTTACTAATATTATAAACGCGAATGTTTAGATGGATGGATGGATTTTTGTTTGAAGGTATCTCCAAAAGAGCTGCATGGGTTTTGCTGAAATTTTGTATAGACGTACAACATAGTCTGGAAGACCACATAGGCTACTTATTATATATTTCTTTAATTCCCCGCGGACGGAGTCGCGTGGGACAGCTAGTCACGAATAAGAGTAAGCATCATAACATAATTTGACTTACCTCAAAATTACAGTATAACTGTCACCATCCTTTAAATCTTTAGCTCCTTCTTCTTTATGATTAATGTTATTCATTTCGACAACTGCGGGAGTGGTCTCAGCTTTCAGCAGCCAATCTTTCGCTGTCGGCTCGTTTTCTTTTCCTTCAGTATTGAGAGCATTCGATGACACCACACTGACGGAGTTGTTGTGCTTCTTCTGGGCCTTCGGACTCGGAGGTAGACCATCTCTGACGTGATGCTCATCATGTGTGTCAGTATCAATCTCATCGTAACAGTAAGGGTACTCTGAATACTTGTGCTTGCAAGTCTTCATTGTCGGATCTCCTTTCTCATCTCTCTTGAAGATCTTCATAATATTATTCGATGTGGAATTCGTTGTTGGTTTACCATCAGAACAGCCTACTGCTTCATCTTTTAGCACTCGGACTCTTGAAGGCAGTTTATCTTCTTCCAACTTCTGCCTTCTCTTCCTCCATTCTACGACAACTGTTAAACCTTTTTCGGTAAAATAGAAGAATACTACGCCTAGCATTGCTGCGAGGCCTTTCCACATACCATCATCGTGCGAAGCTCTGGTATCGACACCGGTTTCTTCGTGACTATGTTCATGCTCCATTGGGCTCATGGCATGAGGCATCAAATGCAATAGAGCATCACCACACAACGTACCAACAGCTAAAGCGACTAAGAATTGCAACAGATGATTATAATAAGTTTTGTGCATTATAGGAATAACCGCGACACCTAACAACCCACAAGCACTGATCGCGAATATACTTAAAGAGGAATACAACCAAACTGTGTACATATTTTTTGAATACGCATTCTCTAAAGGTTTAAGATCTTTGTAATCTATTCTATAAGGTATGTTAGCTTCTTTAACACAACCAGATTTTTCTAATGAGGTACCGGCGAGTTTCTGGTAAAGTAGGATAGGACAGATGGCTTGTAATGTATCCTCTGATACCGAGGCATCAGCCTCGTGTTCTGAAGCGCTGTGTTCGCTGTGCCCATGATCGTGTGGTTTTAACCTTGAGTTTACTGTCGTAACAAGCTCTTCACTGCTTACACACTGAAACAAATAACAATTTATAAACAATTACAATTTTTAAACTGCTGTTTTATCTGATGTTCTTACGGTTAAGGAAATCGTGATGCTGCACATAACTGCGAAGAAATTGAAAAGATATGTGATGGCAAGCAGCACTGGGCCAGCGTTGACTATGACATTGTCACGTCTAACTTAGGGTAGTTGGAGCCCCTCACTGGGGATGTATAGCTGATGATGAATATTAAAAGAAACTACATTGTTCCATGTAAACTTTAGTATCCAGATTTTTCGTAACCATACTTACATTGACAACATCCTCTTTCGCTTCAGTTTCACCATAAAAATACACTTTCCGTTCAACTTTCTGTACACCACCTTCCACTAATTTATGTAAATCCAAATCTTGTAGCATTCTATTAAATCCGGTCATATTCATTGTTGTTGTGGTCGCATCACCATATATACTGAAGATCTGTTCCACATATGCGTTAGGATTTACATTTCTGACTTCCCTCTTCCTTCGTATCTTGTCCAATTTAAACTGATACCTCTGCGAGTCTATTCTTCGTTTACCAAGATCAGCCATCATGTGTTCGGTGTTTTTTATTTCTGGTTCATAAGATACGATGTCTTTGTGTATATCAATATGCGAGGCACAGGTATGCGCTGCACAGAGCAGGCAAAACATGCATACAGTCACCAGATGATGGGACATCTTTATCACCTTTACTTATATTTTTAGTACTTTCATATAGTTGTATTTTCCGATGAATCTTAATCCATGTGTTCATAAAATTGTTGAAGCGTCACGATATTGACATAGCTCGATCTGTGAACAAACAATATAGTATTGACAGAGTTTTTTTTATAAGAGAAGGGGAACAAAGAATCGGCAGGAACATCGAGTTGATCAAAGACACCCATGGACATCTGCAATACCAGAGGAACTGCAGATGCGTTGCCAGCCGGCAGTTTTAACTACAGGCTGGTTCAAAGTACAATACTATCAATAGTCAAATTACTAATTATTATTTCTGACTACGTTTGATTAATTTGGCCTGGATAGGTCACAAATGACCATATCAATTGCATATATTAAGTTAATAGAAATAAAACTACATATTTTCGTTATTAATGTAAAAGTTTGAACATATGTATGTATGTTTGTTACGAGGTATCTCCAGAATGGCTGCATGGATCTCGCTGAAATTTGGCATAGACGTAGAACATAGTCTGGAAGAACACATAGGCTAATTACAAATTTCTCTTTAATTCCGCAGGGACACATATGCGAGAGCTAATCTTATATTTGATTTCAAAGAAACTCCGAGACTGTAACGAGATATGACGTGTAAAAATAACAAACGGTTCTCTATATAAACTGGAACGTTTAGTGTCCCGATATGGAAACTTCTCGAATGCCAACCGCGTGCTGTGGCATACTTGAACCGTGTGTTTCCACTGCCGAAACATTTGTACCAAAACGTGTCATCTCTCTCATACCCTTTGAATAAACTGAGACAGCAGATCGTATTACAAGTTACGCTTAGCAAGTACAATCTTCATATTACGAGGGCCACACATCGTGGGGTACAATTTCAATTGCTGATTATCTGATATTTGACGATATAATTGAAACACAACGCTTTATATTTGTTAATATTTATTAAAGAGAATCCTTGTCTTTAGATAAATATGAAACCCGTATTAGCTTTGACTCTGGTTGAAGAAATAAAAAATATGTAGACTGGATTAGAGATAAATGGTGACTTTATATTTTTTTGAGTTTAACATATTAAATACGATAACAGAAGTAGAACAAATGATTCCATTGATTAAACAATGTCGTCTATAAATTAGAGGTATTATAAATGCGAAAGGATAGATGGATGGATGATAGTCAGTATCTCCAGAAAAGCTCAACGAATCTCGATGAAATTTGGCGTGCCTATGCGTAACGTAGTGCGATATTTTTTATTACTGCGCTGATAGTCGCGGGCAAAAGTTAGTATACAAATTCTTCTCAAATAACCAGCCAAACAATGAGACTCTAAAAAATAAAAATGATGAAAACAATATTACAAAATTTTCAGTATCTGTCGGTCACGTTACATTATCGGATTGATGATATATCGACGAGTGATGGTCACGTCTACCGCTTGTCAGTTTTAACGAGCTCAAATAACGGACATCATAATTACTGAATATATAACCAGATACACAGACTTGGTTTGTTCCACTATGCTCCATCGTGTTGCCTTTGTCCAAATACGAGTTGACACAAGTTTTTATTTGGTTTCGACTGTCATAAAAACAGAGATAAATTTAATAAAAAAACTTAAGGAGCGTATCCATCAAACAAATGTGTATAAAAATATTACTACCTATAAATACGTTTCACCAATCAAAGTACGAGAGGCTTATAGAGAAGCTCAAAATCAATTAATTGCTTACGCAGTCCTTTAGTGTTGGTTTCTCATAGTAAATCTATACTAAAAGTCTGTCTTAGTGACCATTAAAAAGCTGAGAGTTAGGCAGTAAGACAACATTTTACATTTCCGAAGTTCTGACTTCTTAAAAGTTTTACGGTACTAATCGTACGGCGACAAGTTGAACACACCAATGTCTGGTCAGCGGGGGACCAATCGATTTGTTCCATCGCTTATTGTGAACTAACGAACCATTACGACAACTGAACGGACACTCGATATGAAGCGATATCTTTAGAGTTTCCGCACACTAGAGAAAAAGTCGCCCGATAGTTTGCATGCAATGGGTACCTCCATACATCATCATCAGCTCATTATACGTCCCCACTGAGGGACTCGGAGCCTAAATCATAGGCCATAGTCAACCATACTGGCCCAGTGCGGGTTGGTTGACTTCACACATATCTTTGATTTTTTTCTCAGATATGTGCAGGTTGCATCACGATGTTTTCCTTCACCGTGAGATCGTCAGGTAAATGTACATAAGTAAATCGGAAATCGAAAAATACATTTGTACATGGCGGGATTCGCACCCAGGTCCTAACAGATTGTAAGTCAATTGTTTGTCCCCTGAGCCACCTACGCTCTACCTCCGTACATTTTCATACTGATTAAGCGCCCGATCTAACTATCGGGCGACTAAGTTTTTAGTGTGTGGGGAGGCTTATGTTTGACCAAAACAATACCAGACTAGTGTCATCTAAGAGAATATTACAATGAGTTTCATCTTTATTGACACATATTGTCATCTCTCACATATCCTTTGAGAAGGTAGAGACAAAAAATGCTTAGGCAGTCGATTCACGATAACATTAAAGGTCTGTACAGACAGACCGGGGCTGGTAGGGCATTTTTTTATCGCAAATTATATTAAGCTTTACATGACTTAAATAAGGATTGATTTTACTTTGCAAGTCTTTTTTAAGGCCAAAGATAATCTTAGTAATATTATTGCGAAAGTTTTGATGGATGGATGTTTGTAAGAAGATATCTTTTTCGACACGACGACGAATCTCGATTGAATTTGGCACATACAGAACATAGTCTGCAATAAAAAATCAGCTACTTACTACATTTTTTTGCGCGGACAGAATCGCGGGCGATAACTAGTAATGTCTATATAGGCATATGATACAAATTTAAGTGTTGCCATAGTAAAAACTGTAGCAAACTATATTTAAAGTTAATATCGATTTTAGCCAGCTCATATTTAACCTTCATATGGCGATGTCACTAACCGTCTCTAGAGATTGTCGTGTTAAAAAATACAATAGGTTAACACGATCGTGCAACTTTTTTTAATATTACTACTAACAATACTAAATTAAAAAAACTCATTTGACTCATTATCATCAACTTATATATGTCCCCACCAAGGGGCTCGGAGCCTACCCTAAGTTAGGGGTGACTAGGACATAGTCAACCATACTGGCCAAGTGCGGGTTGGTTGACTTCACACATATCTTTGAATTTCTTCTTAGTTATGTGCAGGTTGCATCACGATGTTTTCCTCCACCGTAAGTACGTCGGATAAATGTACATATGCAAATCGAAAATCGAAATACACATTGGTACATGGTGGGATTCGAACCCAGGACTTGCATATCACTAGTCAAGTGCCTAAACCTGTATTCCTAAGACAATAACACCACACTCTTACGAGTATCTGGGGCGCACAGTATCCTTATTTATTTAATTGCTATAACTGATGTACAGGGGACGTAAAGGTTTTTGCAGAATATCATTGTTTTTGTCCCCAGGGGTAATAAACATACAGAAGAAAGACCCTATCTCTTCTGCAATACAACGCTCAATTATAACTTGTTTTTTTTTTCTGTATGTTGATAGTTAAATGGAGAGCGTCGGTGGCTCAGTTGTCAAGCACTTGACTTGCAATCTGCAGGTCCTGGGTTCGAATCCCGCCATGTACCAATGTGTTTTTCGATTTACATATGTACATTTATCCGACGTTCTTACGGTGAAGGAAAACATCGTGATGCAACCTGCACATATCTGCGAAGAAATTCAAAGATATGTGGGAAGTCAACCCGCACTTGGCCAGCGTGGTTGACTATGGCCTAATCACCCTTAACTTAGGGTAGGCTCCGAGCCCCTCGGTGGGGACGTATAGTGAACAGATGATGATGATGATGATAGTTAATTTTTTTTTGTGTTTTAAGCGTTGTAATATCTTTGAACGGATTAAATGTCTTATCATTGCTATATAATCATTCCTAAGTGTACATTCGATCTAAGAAACCCACACTAAGTGAGACTATGAGTGCGGCAGTATGGCTTTTATTTTTATTTCAATGAATATCAGTTTCCTGATAAACGTTCACCAGAAACACGAGCCAGTGCAAATATTTTTCGAGACAAAAATATTTATCCACATTTCTGATAACCGAAAACTTTAGCGAGATTGCCAAATGATATTATTTTCAACGAGTGACGTAAAGGTATACCTTATTTCTTACTAATATAATGCGAATGTTTGGAGGGATGAATGTTTGTTTGAAGGTATCTCCGGAACAGCTCAACAGATCTTAATGAAATTTGGCACAGATGTAGAACATAGTCTGGAAGAAGACTTAGGCTACTTATTAAGATATTAAAAGCAGAAAAACTATGGCCTATAACAAACCGATTTTCAAAAATTGGGTTTACGTTATTAGCAACCCATATACATCACATCATGTTTACGAAATGTAACTTTTTGATATTAAATCCAGACAATCCAAATTTAATTATAGTATAGATTGAACACTTAAAAAGGCTAACTAGCATCAATTAAAACCAGTTCAATGCCACTAAAATTTTCACGTAATAAAACGAACTGTCAAGGCGAATCTGCGTCACTATACTTGTTAAAAAAAAAGAAAAAAATTAGTAAAAGATACAAGACATCTACTAGGTTAGTGGAACATCATTATCGACTTCCCGTGCTTAAACTAGGTGACATACGAACGGACAAACATATTTTCGTAACACCTTTTAAATTGATAACGCCAAAACTGTATCTAGTTTTAAAATATATCGCGACCACTTCACTTCCATCGCTAAAGATATCGATAAGGTTTGTTTATTTTATATCAAGTACCCTTAAATAACTTAAGTAGGAACATACATGTAAACTTTTTTCTATTGAACATACTTATTGACAAAATAACGGTTATTTTATTTGTTAAGTCGCGATTGCTTGGTTATACTTAAACCATTTGTTATATATTATTATACTTTATTTAAGTTATTGCGAAAAAAATTAGCAAAACTCCATAGAGCTGTTTTAAAAAAATCCCAACTGCTAACTTCAACACGTGGCAGAAATCTAAATAAGTAA